GGTAGAAGTAGAAGAGTATAGTAGCTATAGGTTAAAGGAAGGAGAGAATAAAATGAAAGCAGCCAATGCAAGCAGTCTTTCAAAAGCATCCATAATGAAATCCAAGCACAGACACAAAAATTCAGGAACTTTTGCAAAAAGCACAAGTAATATGTGACTGATGGTTTTTCTTTATTGAGTCAAAAGCTGGAAATGTCACTCATTAATTCACTGGACTTTCTCTTTTTCTTTTCCCAACAGAGGAATGTACTTTTTGGTTGTGTCGATTTTAGACATATTCCACTGAACATTCAAAATAGGCAGTACTCAGAGGAAGTCTTTCATTGTAGGATTTGACCAGAAGATACAGATAAATTACAAAGCAAGTTATTTTCAAGGTGACAGTTTGACTAACTACTGTGTTTTTTAGCACTTCAAATTACTAACTGAAAAACCTGAGAAAGTAGAGTTATATTTGGTTTCTTCCTCTTTTCAAGGCAAACTGTTAAGACTAAAATTTATTTTACTTAAAACAAAAAAACCCAGCTCTTTGAGGACAAGGAGTAACAAACCAAGTGATTCAGAACCCAAGTATGAATATAAGCAGAATAGTGTCAATTATTTTTGATAGACATAATCAATCTCCTGCTTTAAATCCATTGTAAAATAGAGGGGAAAGAGGCTAACACCGTAGCAGAGCATCATCAATAAGAGCGATTAATCCTATTTTTAAAAAAACACACACAACTTACTTTAAGAATTTCATCCACACAGCTCACATCACCAGAAGCAGATGCCTTAAAGGAAAAAAAAAAAAAAAAACACACATTAGATTTGAAGTAATTTATTACTAGATTTTTATCATTTCTTGTACAGATTTAACATCTGTTATTAGAAATGAAATTCAATTTAAAGAAGTATTATGATCTTATTACTCCAAACTAGAACACTAGATTCTTTGGACTAATTTCCTTGAATACAATTTTTTTAAAAACTAAAAAATTTAATCACCAAACTGTACATGACTTAAAGACCTTTGTATTTTTCAAAAACTTTAAAAATATTATCTTTCTTATACTTAGAAATGATTTTTAAGTGTAATTTTTTCAGGTGAGCATCTTGTCAAAAATTTAAAAATTTATATACAAAATATACCATGATACTGAGATACAGCATTTCACATAAACTAACAGAATAAAACCAGTATCACTGAAAAATTACTTGTCTGGAACATGATGGACATTTCACATAGCCTTTCTTGAATCATGGAAGTTGTTTATTCTAAGGCGCAAACAGGAAATAGAGAGCTGGAGTTAGAACTCAAAAGTCTAATTTTAAGGATGTTGTTTGAAGAACAAATTACCACTTTACTATTCTCTTGAGAGGAGTAATTAGGTGACAAAAGCCATGAACAATGAGTTTCTTGTTTCTCAAGGTCACAAAAAGATTTTTAAATGTTCTCAAAATATCTTTTTACCTATACCTGACACCTGCCCTCACTCAGTTTTAGTTATGAGCTACGATTTTCAGCTACTAACATTACTTAAAAAAAAATTTTTTATTGCAAAAACTATATTAAAAGAAAAATTCACCTTGTCAGTGCCTTTACGCTCTCGCTGTCCCTCTCACTCTCTGCCTGAGAGGAGACCACACTCTGTGGACTGTTATCCCTTTTCTAATAAACTTTTCTTTTGACTCTTAAAAAAAAAAATTTCATCTATTTCACAATGAATGCTCACTTTTTTGGTTATTCCGTATACGTATGAGGTTACAAACTGTAAATTTCAAACCACCAGTATGAATCTGGAGCAGCCGCCTCAAACCTTAAGTGTAATCAGAGAAAGGGATCATGGCATCCAAACCATACATTACCATCTCTATGAACCTGAAAAATTTCCAACATCTACCACAATGAACAATGGCCTACATCTCGTTCATTAGTAAGCTGTAATTTTTTTAAACAAAAGAAAACAAGATGTATTATTCCATAAAATCAATAGGAGGAAATCTAAGGTTTTCAACACTCGTGCTTTTATTCTCTGACTCATCATTTTACTATTTCAACACAGTGAATGACATATTCTCTGCTGCCCAAGAGGGGAAATTAATAACTCTATGGATCCACTTGGGAGTCAATCACCAGTCTTTTTTGTTATTTTTTACATTCCTTACTATTAAGATAAAGAGACAGATCAAGTTCAATTATAATTTCATGGTAAACTGCTTCACATAGTCATGATGAGAAAAGCTCTAAATGTGAGACTTACATCCAATGGTTGGGAGGGTATTTTCAGCTTGGTGAGATGTGCTTTGCTGCTGGGCTTCAGTTCAGCCATGCTGTTGCCATGGGACTGGCTACTGTAGTGCTCAGAGGACAGCTTCGGTTCCATGGATTCCTGTCCGTCCATGGGCCGCACATAGGCAGTGGGTTTCTGTAACATTGAACTGGACTTTGACATCAATGAAGGTGGGAAAGACTGATTTGAGTGCTGCCCACTTGAAAAGGGTACACGGGAGGGAGAATCCCAGTTTGCATCAGGGTCCCGAGGAGATTTGGAACGCTGATGCTCCTTGCTATGGTGATCATTCCCATGAGACCTGGAATGACTGGAGCTTAATGAAGACATACTCTGGATTTTTTTTTTTGTGATTTGGAGTGTTCTGATCCATGTTGGCCTTTTTTTCGGCTACTGCTTCCACTACTGCTATACGAGTCACGGTCGTGCCTCTGGCTACTACTATTAGTGCCACCACTGCCACCTGCACTGGTCCGCTGGCTACTGTGTCCACTCGGTAAACCTGAGGACCGTTTCTGAGACTGAGAAGTACTGGGTGCAGGTCCTACTGGAGTCCATTTGCTACTCTGATGAGAGCTCCCATGTCTCTGTTCAAAGAAATTTGGGTTAGATTTTTCATCTGCTGTTGGTGGTACTGTAGGCTTGGGAATTGCGACAAGCTTTGGTATAGATCTGTCTCCTATGAAATCCTTCATTTCATCGTAGTTTCCAAGCGTACTCTGAATGCGACTTGATAGCTTATCTTCTTTGCTAGTCTACAAAAAAATGTAAAATAAAATTTCACAGTTAGCATAACTGGAAATAAAAAATGCTCCTAAACCGACTTTCCAAACTTCAAATGGAAAGGCGCTTTCCAAAGGGAGGCCTCAGACCTCACCTCATATCTTCAGGTTAACATCACAAAGCAAACTCCAAATGTATCATTTTTATAATGAAAAAAATGCACTGAAAGTGAAACACATTCATGCTAAAATACAAATATTCTATGCACACTGAGAAATATACACAATAGATTCCAGGAAGACCTTGTATGAAAAGTAAAGATTTACTGCCAAAAAAAAAAAGATTCCAAGAATCTTTTGGGGAAAATAATCCAACAAATATACTAGAACAGTAGAGAAAATCTTCTGAAGAGCAGAAAAAGTAATCTGCCTTTACATAATTAAGGTTCAATTCAGCAGATTAGCTAACATTCTTACACTGGTAGTCTAAAAAAACATTATATTCCTTAAAATTCAATGTTATACTTAGAAGCAGAAACAAAAATTTAGTGAAACAAGTTATATTCAACTTTTTAAAAAAGTTTAATTCCTGTAACTTTGACTTATCAAGGTAATAAAAGTCTCAACAACAAATTAAACATGGAAAATCCACTGATAAAAGTTTAAATCCTAGCTATTAATTCTGACCAATAAATGCTCCAACATTTGAAGTCAACAGTATTTAAGCTTCAAGAATTATTCTTGGATAATAAGAATGTCCAAGATGTCTTTAAGCTTTAGGACTCTTTCATATTTATATATATGGAAGACAGTTTACTAATTATATTAAAAAGGAAATCAAGACTGAACTACCACTATTTATTTTGAGGTTGGCATAAATCAATAATGACTTTAAATTATTTGAAAATCAGTCTGATCCATATTAAACAAGAGAGGTAAATATATAGCAATTTATAGATTATCAAGATTACCAATCAAATCCAATTCATTACAATATAATTACAAAATAAATGGTAGTATAATTCAAAGGTTGTGGACCAAACTCCTGTTTTTTCCAATATGCCTTTAATCCCTAATCCCAAATCTCAGATTTTATGTTACACTCATATAGTTGATGTCAGTATAACTGTCTTTAATTGAAAAAATCTCTTAAAAGCTCTGAATTAAAAAAAAAGCTCTGAGTAATTCGTTTTTATAGATCTCATAGGTGGTTTCTACAAATACCAAATGTTATAACAGTAAACCCAGGATACGATGTTACATTTATATTTCATAATAAAAAGTCTAACATACTCTCAATCTCATAATATATGCTACGAAGGTCACTGCTGCTACAACACATAGTATTATAGCTATTATACACAGTATAAGACTTTTAAATGTAAAAATAGTTCAAATGAAATCTAAAGCCAAATCAAATATTAAGAGAGACATTAGCGGCCACTACAGCTACATTAGTGATCAGAAGTGGTACCCATTCAGTGTTTTATGTAATCTCAAATTAAGCACATGGGTAGCTATAAAAATGCCAATTGGTTCAATTTACTGAACACCTCTGATTAAACATTAAATACATTAGAAAAGCAGAGATTTAGTATGTGATAACAGAAAAAGAACCAGATTGACCCTGAAGATACATTTATTCAAACATACTAGTAAGTCACTGAAATTTAGTAAACCAAATAAACAAATGGCAAAGAAACAGAGAGAAATCAAAGAATCTATGACATATATTCAGCTTTGATTGATGTTATACCTAAAGAACCTATAAAATAGCAGATGATGCAGACTCACAAAATTTTAATTTAATCCAAGGCTCAGAAAGGTTAAATACTTGCCCAGAGGTAGTGGTAGAGCCAGGAATACAGACATAATTACGTAAGCTAATCCAGACCACATTTTCAAAAGTATAGGATAGCAGCTAGGGATGGGGTGGGGGGAATAAATAAGGATGACTTTAGGGCACGAGTAATGCTCTATTTCTTGATCTAGGTACTGATTATACAAGGTTGTTCATGTTGCAAAAATGCTTTCAGCTATAACACGATTTATATACTTTTCTATATGCATGTTATACTCCAATGAAAAGTATGTTCTATTTAGAAGGAAAAAAATGTTAAATGGTATACATAATACCTTTTTTCTAATATAAAAATTCAAGTTTAAACATTTGAAAAGCAAAAATGTCATGGGATTGGGAAAAAGCATTCAAAGAAGGACGACTTACAACTTTGTATGGCTCAGCAAAGAGAGGAGAGCTAGGTGGGAAGGGGTCTTCGCCTTGCTGAATTTCCTGATTCCGCCTTTCCCGTTCTTTCATACGCAGCACATTCCGGTCTTCAAGGTTCATGTTGCTATGGAGAGAAATGCAATCCTTATATTACAAAAAGAAAAGGAAAAATTAAGTGTTCTGTACTGACTTTGTCAGTTTAAAGCTTCAATCGGAGATTCCCTTTCGACTTCCAAGTAATAATAGGCATGAGTGCTGAAGTTGGGTTTTGGCAATGGTTTTGACAACTAATACTATTAGTGTCTTCCACAACTATCCAGACAGGACACGCCAGCCCAGAATATCAGGATCCACCCCATTGAAACACTTAACCTTATCAACTTTTAAAGTATTCTGCTAGCTAAAAAGTCAGCTAAAACTTATACTTTCAGAGAGAAGGTAGTACTTAAACACAAATCCTTAATATTTCCTATAAGCCTTTGAGTGGCTTCCTCTTCAGAAATCTAACTATTCTTTGCCCTTAGAGGCATAAAACCCACTCCCACCTACCACACCCTCCCCCCAGGGTCCAGTGCTTGTCTGTACTTTGCATCTACCTTATCTTGATTTCTTTTTGTCCCAAACACAGCTTCCTTGGTGTCCATCCTTATGGCAGTTTGACCTCAGCTTTGCTGTTGCTCTAGATTCCCTAAAAAACGACATTTCTGCTCTAAATACATTAATATTTCAATTAACACCCAAAATGGCAAAACTGAGGCTTTCAGCAATAGAAACTAAAATTAACTTGGGTTAGTAAAAGTAGTTGAAATTGTGTTGAAAAAAGAAAGTGTTTTGGAGTGGAGAGAAAAATGAGGGTGTCATTTCTATTATCATGACAGTATGTTGTAGTTTCACTAAGAACTAAAGAAAATAAGTTTAATTACAGCAGCAGAGATTTTCGTTAAATAGATAACAATGAAAAAGATTTTCAAACCCTGGGAAAAGGAATTACCAGGGTTTCTGCAATACACTTCCTTGGAGATAGATTAAAATATTTGTCCTAGTTTTGATTTAAAAAAATAAAAAGTCTTTTTGAAGGCCAAAGAGAAAAATCAGTTATACTTGTGTAGCATTTCTAAACTTATGACTCATAAATCAAATCTAATCAGGAAATTAAAGTCAATCAAGATTGGGGGAAACTATAATTGTAAAATTAGAATGGAGAGCAAAACCAATATACTCTTGAAGACTTTTATTAAGTGGTTAGAACAGTGCAAGTAAACATTCAAAGAAAACTTCCTGATTTGCACAATTAGTATCTTGCAAAAAAGCAATTTAATATTTTTTAAAATGTTCTGTGTTCCAAATTTCAAGTTGTTTCTTATTGTACAATTTTCTAATACATTTAGATAATAATATAAGCTATTCTGAGGTATGGAAATAATGTGTGCTTTCTTTTTGGTCTCCCTAGCACCACACAGAACCAAAAAAAAAGTGTTTAAATCTTTCTTTAATAAATACCATAAAACATCTATACTTCAGTATTCAGAGAACAAAACCAAAGAACATATTTATTCTCTAGCTCACTTGAAGCAACTAATAATTATATATACTAACAATTGAGTTTCATATAGACCTCTTGAGCTAAAGTGCTGTAACATACAAAGTTATTTCTATCTGATAGAGTCTAAGGGACATGTTAACTAACAATTTCTTTACATTTCCTGAATTCAGTTCCTGAAAGATCAGAAAACAATAAAGCATTCTTCAAACTATGATTTAACTTATGCATCCAACGGCACTAAAATAATCATACAAGAAACACTCTACACTTACTGTAAAAATAGATGATTCCCACCATAAAATTCCTCCCATAATACAATTACAAAAAAACTATGTTTTCTTAAACAAAGAAAGTCATCCAACTGAATATTTCCTCTTTCAACAAAGCTGAGAAGAAGCTAAGAACTAAATGAACAGATTACTTATAAAAACTAATATCTCAATTGTGGCTCTTATTCTCTATTTTTTTTTCTGATCTGACTCATTTTCCCATCTAATATATAGGCTCCATTTTTTTCTCCTGTGTCTCTGAACATCAATTTCTGCCTAAGATAAAATAGTTTCTCCAAAAGCGATAATTCAAGTAATCCTGAAATTTAAATACAAGTCAATTTGAAGTATATCTTTGTTGTATAGGCAAAACTATTTTATAGCATATTCTTTAGAACACATACAACTATTGTATTGAAATAGGATTCAGTTAAAATTAGCAAATTGCTATATCACAAGAAAATCTGTGGGACTACTAGATAAAATAATATTTAAAAGAAAATTATCAAGTAAAAAGGAGGGTTATATATATATATTCTCCATCTAAAATTTTTAATTACTTAAGGTAAATTGCTTTAAGTACCCATCAAGTACTTAAGGTGATATATTAGTAACAAACAATTATAAACAACAGTCTATGGACAAAAAGAAATGCAAAGAAATCTGCAACTTAGGGTTGTTGTTGGTAGTGATAATGGTGTAGCAATTTCATTGCTACCAGACTGAGCAAGTGAGTAGATATATTGAGACTTTTGGGGAATCAGAAATCTTACTATGAGAAAAGAGAGATACAAAGAATGAAATAAAGAGAAAAAAAACCTTTGGGGATTTGAAATTAGAAGTAATACTATGAATTCATGCTTATGTAAATAAATGTAAATATAAATATATAAATGTAAATATATAATCTCTAGTTCTGTCCACTGAAAGCTTCTAGGAGCAGTGATAACCTTGTAGAAAGAAGCACCCTCAGCACCCAAATTTTTATTTCCAGTATCACTTCCTACTGTTAATGGAACAGGATTTCTTGAAGAAATAGCTAATTCCAAGACTGCAGAAGGGAAAATACAAAGTAAGCCTAAAACATCTTGTTGTAACAGCAAGAAAATGTTCAAAAACATATGGAGACACATTAAAAGGGCGTGGGAACCCGCCTAAAGGAGCTCTCACCAGTCAGATTTAGAAACATGAGCATCAAAATGAACCAACTGAATAAAAAAAGAATCCCTTAGCCCAGAGAGATAATAGCAAAGAATAAAAAGAGAAATAAAACAGGAAGCAAATGCCCTTCTTTAAAGGAGAATGCCAGCTAATAAATGTAGAAGAAATAAAAGAATTAGAAAATGGTCTTTTTCAAATCACTAAAGTAATAACTTAATAATTGAGGCACGAGTCAGCAAGGGATGCTAAAATCATTGGGTGAAAAATTTGGGAGAAATGGGATATTCAGTACCGCCCAATAGGCTATTAATTACAAAAGAAAAAATCTTTAAAATAGAAAAGTACAGTAAACGCTACCCTTAATCAAGTGATCACATTTAACGTCATCAACAATGGGACAGACTGACATCATGTGCCTTCTAACGTGACGCACTGAAGACATATCACCACTTAGGTAGTCTTCCTGTTAAAAATATTTAATCTGAATCAAATTATAAGTAAACAGAGAAATGTAAACTGAGAAACATTCTGAAAAATTGGCCTGGACTCTTCAAAAATGTTACTATCATGAGACCACCTCCCCAAATAAAAAGAGGCTGGGGATTACTTCTACATTCTTCTACAATAAAAGAGACATAACTAAATGCAATATATGATCCTTCATTTCCCAGATCTGGAGAGGAAAAAAATGGCTGCGAAGGACATGATTGGGAAACTTGAGGCAATCTGAACATTGAAAGTATTTCAGATAATCACATCAAGTTTCTCAACTGTGATAACTGTATTTGGTTATGTGGGAGAATGTCCTTAATTCTTAGGATATACACGAGTGAAATGTTATCATGTCTGCAACTCTCAAATGGTTCAGCACCCATGTGAATATATATTTAGTATTACAGATATGTGTGTGTGTGTGTGTGTGTGTGTGTGTGTGTGTGTGTGGGAGGAGGAGTCACAGACAAGAGGTGGAGGAAGAATAGCAGCAATAGCAATCACAGTAAAAATGTTAACAACCAGTATATCTAGGTGAGGGGTATATGGGAGTATATTACATTTTTGTTATAGATCTGAATTTTTTAAAAATAAAAGATGGGAGGAAAAGAGTGATACAGTTTAGGTATCAGAGCACCATGGGGGTCTACGATCATGCCACCCTGAACAAACCAGATCCCATCTGATCTCAGAAGCTAAGCAGGGTCAGGCCTAGTTAGTACCTGGATGGGAGACCACCTACGAAAACCAGGTGCTGTAGCGTAAAAAAATAAAAAATAAGGGATTGTAAACTGACAAGGTCCTTGCAATCTGTGAAGTCAACCAAGGGTTGCCTCACCTAAAAAATAAATAAATAAATAAACAAACAATAAAACAGAGCACCATGGGTGCTTTCCAGCATTTTTCAACTTTGGAATTTACTATCAAACTGTCTCTTCTCTAGGACTTAAGGTATTTCTCCCATTCTTAAGGCGTGCTCCTTATACCTCCAAATTCACACTGATCATCCAATACTCCTCAACTTCTCCTATGTCACTATTTATTACACTTGAGGAAGTGTAATGCCATTCTTGGATAGGAAGGAACACCAACAAGCCAAGCTTCAGTTTCCCTAAAGTAAATGGATGTCCCAAATTTATTTTATAATTATTTATTAAGTGTACTTATTAACTTAATACAAAACATTAATCAAAATAGTGTGATAGTGCACAGAAATGAACATATCAGAAAACAGAAGCCAGAAATTAACCCAGGGATACGTGAGATTTTAATAGTTAACAAATTCATTTCAATAAGTTTTATTTAATAATAACAATTAAAAGCTAAGTACTTCTCTACTGAATTTCTTTAATATTTAGATTACACAGCTTTTTCATGTGTTACTTAGACATTTTTTTCTCCTTTTGTTCATTTTTCTATTAAAGTGACAGTTTTTGATTATGTAATAGCTATGCTTTGTCACATATCTTAAATGAGGAGAATAAAGTTAAGGTTAAATCTTATATTAAACTTGCATCTTAATTCTACTGACCACCTCACTTTTTCAAGTCTTCGGCTTCCTCCAGTCCCACTCCCAAACTCTACTAGCAGGCCATGCCTAAACTCTCCCCAATCCCTTCGTCATAGTAAGATACAAAACTCAATGCATTGCTGAAATGT